CCACTGCTGAGTTTTCCAAATTTGCTGGCATATTGAGTGCAGCACTTTCACAGCATCATCTTTTAGGATTTTAAATAGCTCAGCTGGAATTTCATCACTTCCACTACTTTGTTCCTAGAGATGCTTCCTAAGCCCCACTTGACTTTGTACTCCAGGATATCTGGCTGTAGGTGACTGATCACACCATTGTGATTATCTGGGTCATTAAGATCTTTTTTGCATAGCTCTTCTGTGTATTCTTGCCACCTCTTCTTAATATCTTCTGCTTCTGTTAGGTCTGTACCATTTCTATCCTTTATTGTGCCCATCTTTGTGTGAAATTCTCCTTTGGTATCTCTCATTTTCTTGAAGAGATCTCTAGTATTTCCCACTTTATTATTTCCCTCTATTTCTTTCCATTGATCACTGAGGAAGTCTATCTCCTTGCCATTCTTTGGAACTCTGCATTGAAAAGGGTTTATCTTTCCTTTTCTCCTCTGCCTTTAGCTTCTCTTCATTTCTCAGCTATCTGTAAGGCCTCCTCAGACAACCATTTTGCTCTTTTGCATTTCTTTTTCTTGGGGATGGTTTTGATCACTGCCTCCTGTACAATGTTACGAACTTCTGTCCATGGTTTTTCAGGTACTCTATCAGATCTAATGCCTTCAATCTATTTGTCACTTCCACTGTATAATCATAAGGGATTTGATTTAAGTCATACCTGAATGTACTACTGGTTTCCCTACTTTCTTCAATTTAAACCTGAATTTTACAATAAAAAGTTCATTATCTGAGCCACAGTCAGCTCCCAGTCTGGTTTTTGCGCTCTGTATAGAGCTTCTCCATCTTTAGCTGCATAGAATATAATCTATCAACAATAAAAAATCCCTTAGAAGAAATGGAATAGCCCTCTTAGTCAACAAAAGCATCCACAATGCAGTGCTTGGGTGCAATTTAAAAAATGACAGAATGATCTCTGTTTATTTCCAAGGCAAACCATTCAGTATCACAGGTACTTATTTCCCAGTAATGTGCATTCTCCTGTGAAAAGTGCTCCCACCCCTTATAATCCTGGACATCTTAGGAATTTGGCACATCCAGACATGTGCTTAGTCATTCAGCCATGCCTGACCCACCAGGCTACCCTGTTCATGGGGATTCTCTAGGCCAGAATACTGGAATGGATTGCCATGCCCTCCTCTAGAGGATATTCCCAACCCAGGGATCAAACCCAGGTCTCCTGCATGGCAGGTGGATTCTTCACCATCTGAGCCACCAGGAAAGCCCAAGAATACTGGAGTGGGTAGCCCATCCCTTCTCCAGGGGAACTTCTGATGCCAGAATCAAACCCAGGTTCCCTGTATTGCAGGCGGATTCTTTACCAGCTGAACTACCAGGGAAGCGCCATCTAGGTATGGTGCTGTTTTAAAATAAAGTGAATTCATAGCAAGCTTGAGGATCAGGAGACTATTGCCAGGAAAAAAACCACCACCTTATTTCTCACAGTTCCCAAGAGAAGGGGGCTCATGGAAAGGCACAGGTCACAGCTGCAAGAGCATGTCGGGGGTGGGGGCCAGGGAAGGGGTCTGAAGCTGTAACCTCTATTGCAGTTTCCCTGAGAAGGAATAGGCGAAGCAGGGTCAGCAGGTCTAGAATTGGCTGGTTTGAACCATTTCAGTGGGCTCTGGAACATAGAGCCTGTTCCTAGTTTTCTGGTATCTGGCCCTGTGTGATTCAAGCTGGTGGCTGGGAGTATGAGATAATGGAGGCTGGTCAGGAGGTTGGACTTCCCTCATAGCTCAGTTGGTAAATCATCTGCCTGCAATGCAGGAGGCTGGATTCTATTCCTGGGTCGGGAAGGTTCCCTGGAGAAGGAAATGGCAACCCATTCCAGTATTTTTGCCTGGAGAATCTCATGGATAAAGGAGCCTGGCAGGCTACATTCCACGGGATCACAAGAGTCGGACACGGCTTAGTAACTAAACCACCAGGAGGATAGGCTCTGGACTAGCTATTCTTTGCATTTGTGAAGTGGGTTGAGCTGTTTAGTAGTTCTAGGAATTGGCTAGCCCTGGGCAGGGCAGTCTCTCTACAGAGGCTCAGCAAACCAATTTGACTAATCTCAGGTGGTGAGTGGTCAGGATGGTTAGTCTTCAGAGATTTTCTGCTCACACAATCACTGGCTTGATAAATTTAATTAATTAATGTCCACCCAAACGTACTAATGTCAGAGGTCTAAGGTGTTTCTCCCAAATATAAAGTGTTTTTCTTGGGGACTTCAGAGACAATGCAGCTGACTGATTGGCTAATGTAGGGAGAACTCCAGAGGTACATAACACAGCTTGCAGTGAACCCTCCCCACCACTTGAAATTTAGGTAGAATTACCTGAATTCCCCAGGTCCATGCCCTGGGAAAACTCCTTCAGTGTTTCTGTAAATCCCTGTTATTGTTCAGTCGCTCAGTTGTGTCCCACTCTTGGCAGCCCCATGGACTGCAGCACGCCAGGCTTCCCTGTCCCTCACCAACTCCCAGAGTTTGCTCAAATTCATGTCCATTGAGTCAATGATGTCATCCAACCATCTCATCCTCCCCCCCTTCCCCTCCTGACCCAATCTTTCCCAGCATAAGAGTCTTTTCCAATGAGTCTTCGCATGAGATGGCCCAAGTTTTGGAGCTTCAACTTCAGCATCAGCCCTTCCAATGAATATTCAGGGTGCTTTCCTTTAGGGTTGACTGGTTTGATCTCCCTGCTGTCCAAGGGACTCTTAAGAGTCTTCTGCAGCACCACAATTCAAAAGCATCAATTCTTCGATGCTCAACCTTCTTTATGGTCCAACTCTCACATCCATACATGACTACTGGTAAAACCACAGCTCTGACTACATGGACCTTTGTTGACAAAGTGATGTCTCTGCTTTTTAATATGCTGTCTAGGTTTGTCATAGCTTTTCTTCCTTGGAGCAAGTGTCTCTTAATTTCATGGCTGCAGTCACTGTCCACAGTGATTTTGGAGCCCAAAT